GATTTCTTCCCTTTGCTTTGCCTTCTGGGCACTCTAATGCAATATTCAAAGTCTCTTCTGACATCGATTTTTATCTTTTCTTCTTCCCCTTTCTTTGTAATAACCTTTTGCTTTCTTCATGGATGATATTCTTGGTATCTTCCAACATAAATGACGCCCATACACATGCACCTCTCCTGTGGAAAGATTCATCGGAGAAGCTCACTATCAGCAGTCAAAACCAGGTAAGATGCTGACTATAGAGCAGACCATCAATTAATCATGTGCAAGTTCCAATTGTAGCTGAAGAAAATTAAAACAAGTCCACAAGAACCAAAATAGGACCTTGAATATATCCCACCTGAATTTATAAAACATCTCAAGAATAGGTTTGAAGCATTGAACACTAGTGATCAAAGACCAGATAAGTTGTGGGATGAGATCAAGTATATAAACCGTAAAGAAAGCAGACAGTCATCTCAAAGTCAGTGGAGAAAGAAAAGATAAAAATTGATATCTGCAGCGGCTCTGAAAATTGCACTAGAATGCCAAGAAGCAAAACAAATGGAAGAGATGGACAGAATGCCAGTTGAAATGTTCCAGCAAATTGGATGCATTGCTGGGCACGCACATTCATCTGTGCCAAGAAATTTGAAAGACAACTACCTGGCCAGCTGATTGGGCATGGTATATATGTGTGCCCCTTCCCAAGAAATGGGATCCAACACAAAATTTACATTATGGAACAATATCGGTTAATAACACATGCAAGTACTATTTTGCTGAAGATAATTAAAAGTGGCTGGAATGATAGTGACAAGGGAGTGTAAGAAATCCAAACTGGATTCAAAATAGAATGTGGATTTTGCTGATACCAGATCTTGGCTAAAAGTGAGGAATACCAGAAAGATGTTTCTTTGTACTTTATTGACTGCATTGAGTACTACTCATAATGATCCTCTGAACAGCAGATCTGCACTCTGTCTTGCTCTGAGCCATCCTCATCACCTGTGACATGTGTGATCCCCTTGCTGCACTCACTGTGTCAGTCCATCTTATTGGGGAGGTAATTCTCTCTTTCACAACCCTTCACCTTTCCAGGCATGGTATCCCTTTCCAAGGAATAGGCTCTCCTAACAACATGTCCAAAGTATGAGAAGTGAAGCTTTTTCATCTTTGCCTCCAGGAGCATTCTGGCTGTACTTTCTCCAAAATACATCTTTTTTTTTTTTTTTTTTTTGGCAATCCATGGGATATTCCGTATTCTCCAACACCAAGACTCAAAGACATCACTTCTTCTTCTGTCATTGTCCAGCCTTCATATGGACAGCAGGTGACTGAAAAGACCATGGCCTGGATCAGGCATACCTTAGTCGTCAAGGTTACATCATTGTTCCTCAATATTTTAGAGAGGTCCCTAACAGTAGCCTTGCCCAAACAACATACTCTATCTCCTGATTGGTAGTTTCAGGGGTGTTAAGTGTGGATTCAAATAAGGTGAAATCAGTTTCAGTCCTTTCTCCATCTGTAATGATATTACCTTTTGGCCTGGTGGTAAAGACCTTTGTTTTCTTGATGTTGAGATATAATTCATGTTGAAGGCTGTACTCCCTGACCTTTCTGTGACAAGCATTTCAGGTCCTCCTCACTTTCAGCAACCAAGATTATTTCATCTGCATAATGCACCTTGTTGAGGAATCTTCTTCCAATCCTGATGCCACATTCTGCTTCATAGAATCTGACTTCATAAAGTATTTGCTCATCTTAGAGATTGAATAGGTATGGAGACAGGATACAGCCTTCCTGATTTAAATAGTGTTTGCTTGTTCCCTTCAGACAATAGCTTCTTGGTTTTGGTATAGATTTAATATGAGCACAATAAGTGTTCTGGAATTCCCATTCTTTTCATTGTTAGCCATAGTTTTTTGTCATCCCCACAATCAACTACCTTTGCATAGTCTGTAAAGCACAGACAGACATTTTCTGGTTTTATCTGTCTATAGCCAGGATCCATCTGACATCAGCTGTGTTATAACTGGTCCCACAGCCTCTTCTAAACCCAGCTTGAACTTCTGACATTTCCTGTCCATCTACTGTTACAGTCATTTTTCTTATAATCATCAGCAATAGTAGCAATATATTAACACTAGAAATATGTTAAATAAATATTGTAATTCTGAACTGAATCTTTATGGCACTTACCAGTCAGAGATCGATTGAACATGCAGTCTAGATACATTGATAATAATGGGTGAATGGAATGCAAAAGTTGGGAACAGAGAAGAAGAATCAGTAGTTGGAAAACATGGACTTGGTGAAAGAAATGAAGCTGGAGATAGAATGATTGAATTTTG